AATATAGAATGTAGATGGTGAGCAGGATCCCCAAATAGCGATGCAGTAAGTGATACTCGGGACAATCCCTTTAAAATATATTTCCTCTAAAACACTTGAGGAAAAGGCTTTAAAATTTTTCAAGAATTTTAGCTTTCCTCCAAACTTAGTGTGCAGTGCTTTTACGTGGGGTTTCCAGTTCAGTTTATAGTCGATTTCAACCCCTAAGCAAGTGGATTTAGTAGTGAAGTGAATGTACGAATTTCCGAACATAACAGGTCTCAATGGACCAACAAAAGAATGATTGGAAATCAACATAGCCACAGTCTTTCCAGTGTGGACAGTCAGATGATTATTGCAGCACCATACTCTGAAGTCGTTTAAGATGTGGTTTAACGCATCAATAATTTCTTCGACTTCTTTCCCAATATAGTAGATAGTAGTGTCATCTGCAAACATATGGATACATCCGGTTTCGGACGAATTTGGTAAATCGTAGACATATATTGAAAAGAGTCTGAAAGTTTGTATGGGAATATTTACGACCGCTCTAAGGAATGAAGAAATACTTCAAATTCTCAATTAAAATACCTCACCTTACTCCCACAGAAAAGCTTCTCTTATGTAGGCAGAAAACCTCGAGATGGAAAACTCGCTAAAATGGGTTCTTTTCATTAAAGTAAGCGGTCAGATAGCAAGTGATACGCTGGGGAAGTAAGGATTTTTTTTATCCCTTGGAGCGGTCGTAATTATTCCTATACAAACTCTTATAATTCCGCCATGACTGTTATTGTGCAAGATGATCATCTCACAGCTGGAGCTTGGGCCGCCTGTGGTTTACTTAACTTATGTTTCATTTTAGAGGTATAGTGCCTTCAAATTCGGCATTCCTTGCTTTGTGGTTAAGAAATAAAATGCAAAATTTTCGTAATTGAAGCTATTGTTCGTTTTTGGACGATAAACAAAAGAAAATGTGTCACGCGTTGATCAAAGGGGGTCCGATTTCTATAGCAATCTTACATTTCCCAATGAAACTCGACGGGAGCCCTACTAATTCGGAAATGAACCTAGACAATAGCATGACTATATGAATGCTTCCCTATCCACGAAACGTAGGGACACACTTAAATTGACGTGAAGGGCAATGAAAATATCGAGAATTTATCTCCTTCAGTTTGATACTCGCAATCTTGTATGATTCCCCCGCAGTAGCAGGGGCCTAAGTTATTATTAGTGTGTAAATAAAATTTTACCCACTGGAGTATGTCTAAGAATGCAATTCCTAAGGCGGACGTAAAATTCACAGCGTAAAGTATCGATAGTGCCGCGTAATGAGAATTAGGCGACAGATTTCAACTTAAAAGGTTGAACTGAATTACTTTTAGCCTTTCTTTTGCCAATAAAATTTTTCAAACCAAATTGTTCCTGTTTGTTATCTTAATTGTTGTTGAACAATTCTTCGAAGCGTGACTGGATTAATTCACCCTTCTTTAGTCCATCGACTAGCGCAATCGTCAGAATGAAGGCGGCAATTAAAAGACATGGCTATCATGGATACGTTACTAGACTAGTAAACTACTTACCTCACTCAGAAGTAAAAAGTTCACGTCTATGGCTAGCAAACCCGCTCCACGAAAACACTTGATCTAGGGATGCAATTTCCAAAGGTAGAAGTAAAATTCAGAGCATAAATTAGCGATAGTGCCGCGTAGTGAGAATTGGGGAACAGATTACAACTGAATTGGTTGAACTGAATTAGTTTTGGCTTTTCTTCTGCCTCAAACCGGAATTTCTGCTCTTTGTTATCTTAACTGTTTTTGAACAATTCTTCGAAGCGTAACTGGATTAATTCACACCTATTTATTCTGTCGACTAGCACAATCAACAGAGTGAAAGCGGCAATTAAAAGGCTTGACTATCGTGGATACGTTACAAGGCTAGTAAACTACTTACCTCAGAAGTTAAAAGTTCGCGAATTAGTTGGCAAATCCAGCTCCACGAAAATTACTTGATCGTCGGCGTCGCTTAGGCTGCAGAACAACGCCTATTATTCTTAGCGTATCGATCCCATGAGACACAGCGCCGTCAATAATTTATGTTGAAAAAAAAATTGAGAGAAAATTTTAATATTTAGGTCCTCAGAGAGGTTATTTCCAGCATTTTATG